CGCCCTTCTGCAGATGCGTCGCCATCTATAGCACTGGAGCGCTTCTGCTGCGGTAGCGCGCCGACGCGCGTCTCAGCGGGTGAAGTCTGAACTGCCATTTCTCGCGGAGATCAGGTCCTCCTGCGGCTGTTTTCTAGACTGTATGGTCCTTGTACTAGCGTGCCGAAGAGGAAATGCTCCAGCAGAGTGGCTCCTTTTATAGTGACCACTACTATTAGTAACATTTTGAGCTTCTCTGAAACTTGTTAATTGGATCAATAAAATTTTACAGAAGTCGTTCATTGGTACGATGCTTGGTCTGAAGGATTCACGCGAATCAGATGACAATCGATCGACTCGTTCGAAACAGCCATCATATGATGGAGAGCATGAGAATGAGCCGTTGGCTCTAAGGTTCGCCCACTTACCGTAGTATTTTTTTACCCTATCATTTTTTCTCGAAGCGTGACTTACTGCTTTTTTCACTACTAATTTGAGTGCCCAACACGTGTGATGATGTGCTATATGTGGCATGCCCATCGGTTTTTGACCCTTATTTTAGATGTCGGGAACGGAACATAAGCTAATTGAAGGAAGAGGGCAGAGTTACATGCAAAAAGGGTGGAGGCTAAAGGGGCGCTCTTATGTTCCTTTTTTGTCTTCAATAAAAAGTAGTGTGAACTTTGTAAGGGAGGCGGGGAGACGGTCAACATCATGGTAATTTGTCGGACCGTCACGCCCGACGTAGCCACCAGTGGGCGTGGCGGTTCGAGTAACAGCGAAAGCTGACACCCCTGACTCATGGTTTCCTGCTCAGGCGCTCTCCTACAACGCTCGCAGACTATCCTTTTTGCCGGATAGGGTAGGCGGAATAGCTCTCCACGCCCACAACCGAGGCGAGTTGCCTGGTATCACGTGGTCTCCTTCGCTGTGGATGCCGGGGTGTGTGATGGGCTGGGTTTGGCGCGACGCCCGCCTGTTTTCCACCACTTGTCGAAAAGGGCAGCAACAGTTGGTGGAAAATGGGCTGGCGCTCCAGCAAACACGCTCCATGCAGATCAACAAGAGGCGCAGCGAACAAGACTGCGGGTGTAATAGTCAGAACTCGTTCGTCATTGCGCCATAGCGCTTACCATTGCCGGGATCTGATTTCTTCGCTTAGATGCGAAGTGGAAGTGTGATGTAGTGACAAGTGGCACGCTTACCACGCCCGCAGTCTGACGATCAAAAGCCTGGATTGGCTCCCGCCCAAACTGAACCAGGCTTTCTACCCTCCGGGTTCGGTGAATTGGTCCAGTTTCGCTGCGAGGATAATAACACTGACACTGACCGTGCATCTGCTGG